ATCATGTTGCACTTGAAGATTCCTCATCAGCAGTCACACTGCTGCTGATGAAGCATCACCCCGCGCAACCGACTGATGCACATGCAAGTCCATTTCCCAATCTCGCAATTGCCACCCTGAAACTGATTGTCTGCACATGTCCAACAACTGCATCAGTACTGCATGAAGGAACAGTATTGTTCACAGAATAAAACCCGCCCCACTCAAATCAAACCAAAAGCAGGGCATTCAACCAATGACAAATACTGCACACAAATTGCTTGCCGGCTTGCTACCATCATTGCAATAACGTTCCATCGGAAATGGGTACATGATTGTCTGGATACGTGGAACAATTCAGAAACCTGATTCGACCCGAGAACACAGCAGCGTGACAACAATCAAATAACACAGGCCAAAAGTCATCTAAAGCATGCAAAAACAGACAAACCCCCGTCTCAAGAACACCCTTTCCATCTCTCTTTTGAAAAATGCTTGATTGATTGATTGTCTGAATTCACACAATTCCGAGCAGGAGAGGAGAAATAGGGAATAATTCAACACCACCATCATCATCATCGTCATCATTATTGCACAGCGAACACTATAAATGGTCACAACCACGTTAATAAGCCTTGCATTTTTGCAACTCAAGCGTATACAGTACTGTACTTTAGCTGAACCAACCTCAATTTATATACGGTTCCTGCCTCAGAAGAAGAAACAGAAAAGAAACACGCGCGTGTTCCAATAAGGAAATCAAACAAGCATCTGAGCCTTGCTCAATCAAGTCAAAGAAAAAAAACGGGTATCTCCAGCATAGCCAAAACAGTTACTAAACCGGCCTTGTTAATAACTCTTGATTTCTCTACTCATACCAAGTACTGTACACATCTCTCTTGCTCCGGCTGCTGCATGATACTGATCAGACAAATCAACCTGTGTTCTGCTCAACTGCAGGAAGGTAAATATACGTATAGATATACGTCAATAAATACAGCAGTAATGCAAGTTAGCAACACTTTCTCGTCTTGGATGATGACAAATTAGACAAGGAACCTCAAATGCGTCAACAACAGGTACAGGCACGTCAGGTGTCCCTGCATCACCAATCTACTATACCATATAATACCATCAATATCAGAGTAGTGTACAGCAGCTGTAATGGTTGATGAAAGAAAATAAGTGACAACTCATTGCCGGTTGATCAGCGCGTGACAACAGCAAAATAATTACTCCTCATCTATGGCACCATTTTCTGTACTGCAGTGTTTCATATTTGGCATAATTGAGGCGGACACAATGAAAAGCAAGGATAATGATGATGATGACAATGATGAGCAAGAAATGTGAATTTAGGGTACTGACTGCTGCTTCTGCATGCTGCAAATAGAGGGATGAAAACAGAAAGAAATGAGATAAGGTGGCTATGGTGACCAGCATGATGATATGGGCGTGTGCATTTCATGTGAGAAAAGGACAGGTGGGGGGGGGGGGGACCTGCAGCAAGGAGGAGGAGAAGAGGTGCTGATGATGGGAGTGACAATAGATATAGGTACAGTACTGTAGATACGTACTCACGCACACGCACACACATCGAAGCAAGCCTCTTGAGGACGGGATGATGTGAAAGAGGAGTTTGGAACTCTGCTGGCTCACAATCACTCACTCACTCACTCACACACACACACACACACACGTGATAGGAAAGACATCTTCGCCAAATGCACCTCGGTGCACCCATGCACACACGTGGGGAGTCTGACTGACTGAATCAATGGAAAGGAACAAAACCAACAGCCATGCAAACCATGCGGCTCAGCCAGCCGAGCCAGTCCAGTAAAAGTATAAAACACGCACAGTATAGTGGCATCATCAAGCAACAATAATATTGTATAACCGATCAACGGCCATATAGAAAACGAAAGAAAGCTTTCCTTTCTTTTTTTTTATTGTTTTCAACAATGCTGCATGTGCTGTACCCGGGTTGATTTGCAGCAGGCAGACAGGCAAGCATGCAAAGGATCGAGTCCCCGTCAATGATATGAAAGCAATCTTAGCCTCAATCGAGTGCACCAAAAAAATACCCAGATCATCTTTTCTTTCTTTGTAAAAACGTCTGCCATGCACAGGGATTCCAAGTGAACAAATTGAAAGCAATAAGTGACCACTGTACTGCATATTACTTTGATTTGCTTTCAGTCGGGCAAAAAGGAAACGTAAATCAACAAAAAACAGCAGGAGTAATGAGACGTCGGAAAAACACAAACGTCACACACGGCATGTACGTTGGTTGCTGCTGGGAACGTGCTCAATGAGAGAAGATACCAGATGATGGCGCGTGAAGGGAAGGAAAGGCGTGCATCACCATGCAGGTTTGGTCTTGAGCTGACGCACAAACAAAACCAAGTCAAGAACAGTGCTGTACTGTATATTGATGCCAAACAAACATCTACGCTACCCTGAACTGCTGCGTATACGGCAGTACAGTACTGCACTCAACTTGTTAATATAGAGGCCACAAGGACATCCAGCAGCACAGGCAAATCTAACACAGTGCAGTACCAACTATTACACGGCAACCATCAGAGTGGAACGGAGAAACAAAAGCACACATTATGATTGCTCATTTGTCAGGTCCTGGTGCACAAACTGGGACCTCCAGCAGATGATCACCTGCCGTGCTCCGGGGATGTGCATCAGGATGATGAGAAGACACACGTAGGATGAAAGGGATGACAGACGGGACTCGATGACAAACAATACAGTACAGTAGTTAGTATAAGGGGCAAGACAAGAAGGCACTGTCGCACACATTCAAGGTTCTGTCTTGCTGTTTGTTTATAGGGGGACACAAGAGCACACTGGTCCTCGATCATTGGTGCCTGCCAATTCTAAACTGCTGCCGTGTTTGTCAACTGCTTGCTTGCTGGCTGGCTGACTGACTTGACTGACTCACTCACTACTGGAAGACTGCTGCGGCGAGGGCTCCTCCAACCCCCTCTGATCTGCCTATAACTCAAGTTCCTTCACCCACTTTCCGCACGGTTTCTTTCAGCCAAGCAAACAGACCAGCATCACTCATACATGAAGCGTTCGCCGCAGGGAAGGAAAGGGAAAGGAGCAACAACAAAAAATTCAAGGAATAAGGCTTGGTAGACTCTCTGACGGACCGTGTCAATCTTTGCCCACAAAACAGGCAAGATTGACCAACTGACTGCTGATGAATCACAGAGACAACTATTAGGGCACATATATTGCATACAAGTATGTATCTACGTACTAAATGGCTGCTGATGCAAGGGAAGGAGCAACAGAGGAATAAGGAGGGAGGAATTCCACAGGACCAAGCCACTTTCCAGCCCTGACTGCTGCATGGGAGCATATTAATTATTGCACTCAACATCCGAACCCATCACGGGCAATGGGGGTAACAGATGGCATTTCCAAACCAGCATTCTTGAGGTCACCATCAGCAGCGACAATCAATCGATTAATGCAAAAAGCTCGAATCAGAAATGACAACCTAGTACGCGGTGTACTGTACTGCACTCTGCTGCGCAGTGGGACACACGTACAGTATACAGCACACATACACACATGGTCCGTAACAAGCGCCCGCCCGCAGTCTGTCTTGCTATTGACATGATATGCCCAGCTCGCGGAATCAAGGCAAATTCATCTCGATCCGACGCGTCCCCGCGGGGCAGAGGCCGGCCCAGCAGTTTTACCGTCCCACCATCACGGCCAATTACAGCATGTACCGCTTTTCGCTGACTTTGCCAAACTCCGCTCTGCTCTGCTTTCCCCAAGGAAGGAAGGGAGGGAGGAAGGAACCCCGAAATTGACAGCAGCATAAACAGCAAGAAGATCGCGACAACTGCGTGCTTGAGCTGAATAGGATGGAGTAGATCAGAGCGCGGCGCGTATCTGATACAGTACGGCATAGGAGAGAGGAAGATAAGCAGAGCCAGCTTGACCCCAACCGCAGTCTACTGTACTGTACTACACTAGGCAGTCGACGACACATAAATAAGCAACAGCAGAAGAGGATGGAGACATGCTGCTCAATCCCTCGACCTCCCGCCAACAAGTCGAGACAAGCGGCTGGTTGATTCATGCCACCCCCACCGATCACGAAAGTACTCTGTACTGCATTGTGGTTGCACGCACGCGTATGAGCCCCACCACGTCCCGCAAGTGCTCATGTTTCATACTGCACCGTACTCTCCCTGCCCCTTTTACACGGCAATCTCCAGAGACCACATGGACGTAGTTGAACTTTATCACTGGAAACGGCATTTTCGATTTCGCCGCCAAATGCCACGATGATGATGATGTGAAGACCGTCGTCGTACCGAGCATAGCATGCATGCACTTCTTCCTTCCTCGATCCAAGCACGGCGCTCAGCAGCAGTCAATCAACGCAAAACGCGGCATCACCCTCGTACTGCCATAACCTCGGTACATTTCCCCGCCACAAATGAAATTAAACCAACGGAACAAAATACAAAATCAAAACTGACCCGAACTCAACCAACCATTTAATAATAATAATAATAAGCAACCAACCAACCAACCTATCACTCACCCGCCCTACCCAACTTGATTCGATCACCTCCTCGTCCTCCCCTTTCTGACCGGCTATATTGCTACGATATATCTTCATCGAGGCGCACAGGGAACGCAGATTGAAGAAACAAAACAATGCGGAATAAAATCAAACCAAACAAAAATGGAATCGTAATAAAAATAATAATGTTAAGTTTCTGAATATCATTACTGCAACTCCTGCTAACACAAAATGGCCGCAGCCTTCCGGCTCAAAACACGCATATCATCCGAGGGTGTTCCCGCACCGATGCAAAGCTGACGTCTCGCGACCCAGACTAGCTGAGATCCGACCAAACCCGGGTGAACCAACAACCTACCAAGCCAGCAAACAAATGTTTGATTCATGGACTGATGCAACTAAATCGCGAACTCAGGGGGGGGGGGGGGGGGGGGGGGGGGAAAAAAATGACGCTGCTCATCACTTAAGTAGACTTTTGTCGCGAGGAAAAGGACCGCATGATGACAGAAACTTCCTACTTTCGTTGGTAAGAAATATGACACGCGAAAGAATCCAAAGAAAGAGAGGTAGAGGAAAGGAGCAAAACGCAGTTCCAGCAGCTGCCATGACGATGACAGACATCACCCGCACGCAACCATGTAGGAAACGAAGCTCGCCTACGGCCCGATTCTCGCGTAGCGGGGATCATTTCATAAAATCCATCACCATCCTATAACAAAATAGATGAGTACCGCAGCAGCTAATGACCGCCACAACGATGATGATGATCGTTGTCGTCGCGGCACCAAAAGAAAAATAAAAAAAAAACCAGCATGATCGAATTAAAAGGATTTCAATGCGCCGCGGACCATGGCCCCATACCTATTCCTCCTTATTCACCTCCGCGCTACGTTAAAGGTAAGGTTGTGTAATGCTATGGGTTCATCATGCCGAGGGCCATCCGTCTTCGACGCGAGACGGCCCTCAGAAAACATTGCTTTCAGACTCGACTTTTGCAAACAACCGAACGAAGAAACCCTTTACAGCTCGGGAAAAAGAAAATAAAAAGCAGCAGGTCGTGCACGGGGCGTAGTCGAGAGTCCTCGCCGCAGGACTTTCCGTTGCTCCTCAAGGCAAGAAGCGAACATTCCTCAGCACCATGAATGCATAGACTTTGATTTGATATCAAATGAGGCCGACACGTTGGGACAGCACAGAACTGGGCAGGACTACTGTAAGCCACTGGATCCAATCCATCATATCCACGTCGACCACAGCAAAAAATAAAATTAAATTAAAAATGGGAATATAAATAAACCCCCTCCCACTAAAAAAAAAAATTTTAAGAACGAAGAAGAAAAAAAAAAAAACGCGAATGCGATAAAACCAACAATTTCTTTCCCCCCGCCCGCAGGATGCATAATCATCATCTTTGGGTTGTACAAGGTTCATTTACAATAGGACTCGGGGGGAAAAGAAAGGAAAGAGAAGGAAAAAAAAAAGTCATCCAGTGCAATTTCACTCCTCCACCCGGTATCTTGTTGAACATCCTCGTCCATGCGCGCAGTTGTTGTCGCCTTCATCTCATCCCAGCTAGCACCTCTTCTTCTCATTCTGGCTTGGCGTGATTCCCCTTCTTCCTACTGGCATCTACACGGCAGCGAGGAAATGGAGAAGGAAAAAAATTAATCAGAGCGGATCGATTCAGTAGTGTGGTCAACTCGAGACAAGGTTTTGATGGAAACCCCCCTCCCCCAAACGCGCAGCCTAGGATCAGCCGGAATATGTGTTGGGCGGGATATTTTACTCGATGATATCGTTCACATACTAGCTTGCTTGGTACGTATACTGGACAAAAAAAGAGATACTGTACTGTACTGCATATGCACGACGCGGTGAGGACCGATATTGTATGTGCTGCGTTCAAGCAAGACACCGCCCGAACTACTGCCGAGTACAGATCTATAAAGAATACTGTAAAGGACAGGACAGGGAACAAAAAACACACGTGGGAATTAACATTAGACGACGCGACTTGGGGTCAATGAATAAGGGATAATACGGTATAGAGGGAGATAAGGAGCTGGGAGACACGGAGGGAAGAGCGGGGGATCATCAGTCAATCAATCACTTCATTGACGTCCGAGGCTGATCGCACACACATATACGGTATACGGTAAACAGTACACGACACAGGGACTCGATTAAACGTCAGTACTGTATACTGTAAAATATAGCGTTACGGATGATGAGTGAGTAACAACCGGTAAGAGGGACCACCGTCAGGATACAAGTCAGTTCACGTGTGAGGAGCGGGTTTGATCCTGGTGGCCAAAGGTGGTTGGGAGGAGTTGGGACCATTGGCATTCGGGGTACCCGTCGCGGCGGCGGCGTCGACAGTGGCAGCTGGCGGTAAGCCGACCGCAGCCACTGCCGCCAACCCGCTCGATGCCGCACCTGAGCCGCCGCCAGACGAGTCCGGAGAGTAGTCCTTCCGCGGCGGCATGCGCTCGTTCACCGCGTCCAGTCCCTTGGCCTGCGCGAACGACGTGATCTTGTGGTTCGGCGAGAACCCAGCCAGGGCTGCAATGACAAGCAAACAACCATCGTTATACTGCATATGATCGTCAGTCACGTTCATCATCATCATCATTGCTACGAAATCAGTGCAAGCTGGTCGCCTTATTCCACCATGTAAGGTAATATTATAGGTCCTTCACGAATGCATGCAGCGGTAGAGAATGTCAAAAAGACTATCGGTATACGACACAGTACTATACTACATCAAAATAAGACTCGCTCATCATCATCATCTTCGAAAATATTCATTACAGTGCTATATATCATTGTACTAGCTCAGTCGTCCACCTACACCATCTGCTGCCATGGCAATCTTCTCCTCAATACACTACCCCGTAACTTACTACACTTGGCACCCAGACTGAGAAAGGTATTCAATCTTTCTATACTGCAGTATATTTCATAGAGGAGAACTGTACACGTAAATAGGACGCAGCATGGAGCATGAAAGCAGAACTTGGCTCAACTCACCCGTCCGTAAAGAGTCCGCTCCACCAGACAGGGCTCCAAGCGGCAGAGCACCGGTTGGCGTCAAGCCCTTGAGCTGCAGAACACTCTCGCTCTCCTCCCTGCGACGAGTAACAATTGAAGAAAAGAAAGAAAGACAGACATTTTACAAATCCGTAGAAAGACGAACGATGATCGTACACGTTCGATCAATCGAACAGCCAAATTTCGAGTCGCGAGTGCGAGACGACTCTACCCACTGTGCTGCAAAGAACTTTACTGTGCGTTCTTTCCCGCCATCCTACCCCAACTCCTCGCCGCACCGTTCTCAGTCACTTCCAGCAGAACTCGCTCTCTCTTGCGCATGAGTGACTTCAAAAATAGGGAACTCAACTGCCAGTTTTGAGGCCCACACAAGTTGAGTTGGACTCAACAAAAGGGATTCGTATTTCGAAGCACACATTCATGGAAAATAAATTGGCAAATTATTCATAGAGCAAGGGATTAAAAAAAAAAGGGGGATTCAAAAATTGGGTTTTATGAGTTGAGATAGACAAGAGTGCTCCACAGTGACAATAGGTTTCAACGATACGAGTTCTAAACCTCTTGCCTGGCAGAAAGTGGTTCCTGCCTAAAACTCTCATCTCTTCGATATTTTCATCGTGTAAAACTTGATCTCGTCTCTTCAGGACAGTTACTCCCCTGCAGTTGGGTTCCCTATTCTTGAAGTCACTCATGCGCGCGCGAAGAGAGAGCGATTCTGCCGCTGGGAGAGACAGAGAGCGGAGCGGCAAAGAGTTCGGCTCCCTCGAGATTGACCGTTACGGCAGATCCTCTGCTGGGACGTTCAAGCAGAAGGGGCTCCCGACCCCTCCATCCTCCTCCTCAGTTGCGCTGGCGCACGCACGAGCAACGGGGGAGTGAGAGAGAGAGAGAGAGGGAGGGAGGGACTTGAGGACAGCATTCACTGCATAGGGGGTTGGGGAGAGAGAGAGAAAGAGAGGACGGAGGATTAATGGAACTGAATACAGTATTGTTTCAAGATGTGCACTGTTCTATAATCGACGACGTTGGAGGAAAATGACAATAAAGTACGCTAAAGTGCAGTATGTATGTATCTCCGCCTCCTCCGCATCTTGAGAATTGTGAGCAGTTCGGTTCGAGACAGGACAGCAGGAAAGAGGGCATTATTCGGTGATGGCGGAGACGGCCGGGGGAGCACCATTAAAGGATTTATCTTCCTGTCCGTGCATCTATTCATCCACAGTATCTCTCACCATGACACGAGTTGGCGTTGGATAGGAAAGAAGGCAGGAAGAGAGATATATAGATAGATAGACAGACGGACGGACGGACGGACGGAGAGAGGAGCAGAGAGGGGATATTCATGGATTATTCAACGGCAGGTGGACTTTTTTCCTCGTCCCCCGGCCGGGGATCTGGGAAGGATGACGGATCCGCGCTTGCACACTCACCTCAAGACGGAGAAGACTCGCGCCATCTTCCCAATTGCTCGGATCTTGTTGCGGATCACCTCCTTCCTTGCCGCGCCCTGAGCCCCTGTGGGACGAGTAAAACAAAGGGTTAATCGAACTGAAGGATCACAAATCATGTGCTCAAATGCGGACCCAATCAAACAGCGAGAGAGAGAGAGAGAGAGACAGAGAAAGAAAGAAACCAACGCAGGTTAATATTCCTAGTACAGTACTGTACTGCACTGTACCACGCCAACAACATCAAGATGACCGATCATCAAGTTTTCTTTCAGACACGCGTGAAAAATACTGCATCATTCAAAATGAAATGTTCGCCGTGATTTCCTCGAGCAGCACAGAACTTGTTAATGTACGGTACACTATAGTACAGTAGAATATTATATACGTGCGCGCACTTGTTTAGTTGTGCGAGATGCCTACGTGAACACACAACCCGACGCAGTGCAGCGCGAGCGCGACAAGACACGGGGTCAGCAAGAGCAACAGGCCTGGCAACACTCCGAGAAGAGGGTCCCGGAACCCTCGAGGCTGATGATGGTGCTACTTCTTATTCTCCTCCTGCCAAATCCGCTTACAACTTGCTGCTGGATTCCCCCCTTGCTCCAGGTAATGTTGGGCAAGGTATATTGAAAGAAGAAGAAGAAGAAAAAAAAAGAAAAAAAGAGACAAGGATGAAGGGAAGAGATGAGCAGGGGCGAAGTGGCCCTCTTTCCTTGTTATTCCCGGGTCTTAGTTCCGAAGCAATGGAATTTCAATATCTCGCTCATTCCACGACCACGTGGAAAATCCAGCTAATGACCTTTCTGAGGAACATCAAAAAGAGTCGAGGGGATCCTTCCTTCCTTCCTTGTTTCTCCCTCCCGTCCATCTATTCCCTTCAAAAGTCGAGGAGGATTGGAATCATCTCATCCTCCAGTCCCAGGAAGAAGAGGTGGAGGAGGAAAAAGAATAAAAAATTTATAAAAAAGAAGAAGAAAAAAGGAAAAGGTCTCACACGCAACACAATACTGTACTGTACGGTACATTACTCAGCCAAAACAAGAGTCGTCGTGATTGTCACGCTCCCTTTCCTCTCCGTCTATCTCGTCATCAACTGACGCAATGCCAAGTGCTTCATCATGTATAATAATGAAAGCACCCGGTTCGGGTCTATACTGTCTCTGTCTGTATCTGTACCTGTACCTGTACCTGTATACCTCAGGACCATATGGTACGAGGGACGAAGAGCAAACAAGTCTGTCTGTCCGTGTGACGACAGAGGCCAAGAAACGGTAACAAGGAACACGTATCGGAGCATCGCGTACATTATATAGGAACCTTTGTCATTCCAAATACGCGCGGTAGTAGTTCGTCGGGGAAAAGAAGGCGGGGGTAGAGTATAGTACTGTACTGTACAGCAGCAGCAGCAGCAGAATTCTGCTGCTGCTTTACCACGGCACTCATCATCACGTAGCCAGCCAGCCAGCCAGCCACATGCACGGCACCCACCAGAATAGTTTCTAGCCTCACAGGAAAACCTATAGGACCCCGACCGTGTCGAGTGTATGTATCGTACTGTGCTGAACTGTATACGGTATTGCACTCGACGACAGTTGCGTAGGGCACCAGCAGTTCTGAGGTTCCCCAGCACTCCCCTAGCAAATACAGCACCCCTTTGGAAAGGAAAGGAAAGTAGAGTAGAGTACAGTGACAGTGGCACACAGGCGCGCGTCACTCCTCCAGCACTCGATGCGGACGAGACCCCAAAGAAACCCTTCCGCGGCAGAGGCGAGGCGAGGCGAGGCGAGGCAACAACAACAACAGCAAGTAGGGGGATCGTGTGTGTGCACCAGTGCGCACACACTCACGGTCTCAGTCTGGGGGAAACGGGAATAAGGCAAATCAAAACCTACCGCCGAGTCTCTTCAATTACCGCAACGGGAAAACCCAGTGCCTCCCTCGCTCGAAAAATGTCCTCGGCGACGAGGCTGCACTCGACAAGGCTAATTACAAGTACAGTACTGTACTACACATTCCTCAGATTTACGCATGTTGCAGGAATGAAAGAAGCAAAACTAAGAGAGCGAGAGAAAGAGAGAGAGGGTAAAGAAACAAGCCTGACCTTCTTCCTGCGAGTCCTCGGATTCATGAATGAGCTCGTCGTCAGAGCAAATGTTGAGGACGTTGACCAGCATTTCCGTGACTGCAACAAAAACAACAACAAAAACAAAAAAAGAGAGGGGGGAGAGACAAGGAAACGAGGATTCACAATAAAAATCAAGCGTTATGAATTCGACTGCACTCGGGTGACGGGTATATGCACCTTTCTCGCCCACAAAAGGCAGGGACCACGTGAACACGTCCATGAAGTTGGGCAGCCAGTACGGGTGCGGGGAACAGTTAAATTGTCGGATATTCATCACATTGTTCTCGTACTTCAATACTGCCGCCTGTCGAAGAATTTAAAAAAAAAAGAAAAAAAAAAGAAGAGACGGGTTAGACAGGTAGACAGACAGACACACAGACTAATCAATCAATCAATCAATCAGACAATCCTCCCACACGTGACCTGGTTGTCTGATGGCCAGCATTTAAAGCAAAAACAATACACCATCGTCACTGAGTTCTTGAGGGTGACACTCGACTCACCTTATTATTGTACACGTCCAAGTAGTTCGGCGCGGAGAAGATGGTGATGAGAGCTGGGAACCCGGTGGTTTGACTCTTCCTGTACATCCGATACCTGTGAAACCAACCGATGGACACACAATTGATCAGTCAACAGGAAGCCTGCCTTTCTTGGCTGGCAGTCTCAATAAAGTACTGCACAGTACTCTACTCAGAAATCACAATACTGTCAATGACGAAAACTACGTACCACATGGTCAATAATACCATGTGGTCCCCCGAAAAGAAAATAAAAAAGAAAGAAAGAAAGATAAGACTCACCCAGCGTCCTGGGCCTCGTGTGCCCTGATTATTGACAGCAAACTGTTCTGCTGGAGAAAATCACAGACCGCCGCATAGCTGTGGACCACAAGGAAAAGGGAAGGGAAGGGAATGAATGAATGAATGGAGGAGACGGAAAGGAACAACGGAGGAGGCAATGAACGGTGCATTCGAGGCAACGTGTCCCCTGACCTGACCTGTGACCTGACTCGGCCCAACCAGACCAGACCAGACCAGACCAGACCAGACCAGACCCCCCCTTTCACGGTGCTCACCTATAGAAATACGAGCATCCTCTGACTGAGTTGTGCGAGAAGTGTTCCGAGTTCTTCTCGCTCCCAAAGTCTTCCAGAGGGTCAGACCACAGAAGGTCGCACATCGGACCGAATGCGGGTGGCTCTTTGAACCGGTCGAGCTGTAAAACAACACGCACATAAATATAAATAAAAACGAAGCCGGCATCATCAACAACAGCACCAACAACATCATCATCATTTCAATTCAACGACCACCGATGGCCGAGTACATTACATTACATTACTGCATTGATCTGCACAGCTCGTCATGGCTATAGGCACTGTTGTACAATGCAGCACTGTGCTGTGCTGTATTTTGCCTACACAAGGGGGCAAATGAATGAAATGCTGAGAGAGACAAGAGTCAGCATGGTACAATTTCTGCATCATGCCACCCGTGATGATGAAAATGGCTCCTGGACACGGGGCTCTCCCAAAGTACAGTACTGTACAGTTCAATAAGCAACCATTACAACCATGACTGATGCCAACTGGTAAATCTTGAATTCCATGATGTCCTTGCTCGGTGCCACAAATCTTCCCGCAACAGATGGTGTTCATGGTTGCAATTTTCCAACAAATCTTTTTTTTTTTAACCTCTCTAACAGTAACGCACACGGACTATTAATTGCAGGCAAACAAATTAAAACTTGAGAAAAGTCGTTCGAGTTTCCGCTCAGTTCTTGAAATTCCCCATCAAAAATGCCAGTTGGGATTTACAACAAGTGTCTACTAACTACTGCACGTATTATTCAAGCCCAGTCTGAAGGCTTCTGAGCAACCTCTGGGACGGATCCAAGAAAAGATCCTGGGGGAATATGCTATTTGAGAAACGTCAAAGGGGTTTTTCTCAGTTATTGAGATACAATACTTCATTCTTCGTGGAGGTCATGACAAAAAGGGTCATCCAATGAAACAAACAGGCGCCGTCATTGGAGCCCACCAATGATTAAATGTGTTGCACGCACAATTGGAATATATGTACAGCACAACTTGAGCTACAATTTTCCAAACAGTTGTCATCATTACGATCAATAACTTGCTTTCTTCATCGCATCATACGAAGAACGTCTCACAGGGAAGCCTCCATGTTCTTGTCCAACGACCCAGTTATCAAAGCTTGATTACTGTTGCTGTTACAGTATTACCTGAGCGAATGGGGTGCCACGTGCCAGGATCCCGATTTTGCTTTTCTGGAAAACTCTCAGGAAACAACTTTTGCAAAGAATAAAGATGCCTTGCAATAAATATTTTCATGATTGAAACTGCAATACTGTACCGTACAATATACAGTATTCCACTCGTGCTCTTCAACAGGAAACCTCCAGTTCGAACTGAACCGCATACGGTGCTGTGCTTGTATAGAAACGAAAAAGAAAAAAAAAGAAAACTCTCCGCCTTGACGAGAAACATTCTTCGATTGCATCTCATGACTGGGCACAACCAACTACTGTACTGTACATTCGCGTTTCCTCAACTTACACGGGTCATAAAGGAAGACGCGTTCTGGTGGGATTTCGGGGTACAGTACCGTACCGTACCGTACTTTACACGGAGGAAATGCAGAGTTACCTCTGCCAACAAGTTCCGCGGAAAACATGCTATCCCCCCCCCCGGACCGACACAACTGTCATGTACAGTACATATGGTGTAATCAATAGACTCACCCTGCGAATGTCGTCAAGTGAGTGGATTTCCGGCGACAGGCCGCCGTGGACGCACAGGAACTGCTGATTCATCAGCGCCGCCAAAGGCAAGCAATCGAAGGCCTCCATGCACGCGTCATAAACCCTCTCGGAATACTTGATTTTACCTGCGGGGTGAATAATTGCGTCGTGAACGATACTGCACTGCACTGCACTCTACTCACATTCTAATTTGAAGGTGAAATACTCGGTAAGATGCCGGCATTCGTGGTTCCCTCTGAGCAGGAACAGCGTTGTCGGATGACAGATTTTAAGCGCCCATAAATATAAAACACACTGGAAAAAGAGAGAAAAACGGAAGAGGGGCAGCGAGTATTATTCATCGGTACTGCACTGTACACTACAGTACACGTGAGTGCAACAGTCGAGAAACACGGCCATCCCCCGGGATATATCCACACACGAATACGCCGAGTCTAGCAACAACAACAACAACAAAAAGAAAGAAGGGAAGAGAGAAAGAAAGAAGCAACAAGCTGGGATCCTCGCTTCGGGTCCTACGATCACCTCGTTTGCATGTACTGTACTGTACAGTACAGTACAGTACATGATCATCCTGGAAGTGAGGAAGAATCAAAACGAGACCGCGGGGAAACTGGTGTGACATCACTCGTACGGCAGGAAAATTAAGGGGGAAAGCGAAGTCTCCAGTAGTGTCGAAAGGAGGAGGAAAAGGTTCAACGTTTAAACTGACTGGGAGCTGGAGATACTGTACGGTACAACAAAGCCCGCGGGGAAGCGTGTAACCCCCCTCGTACATTTCGATCATGAATGCACAGTCCGATCCTACCGAGGACAAACGAATGTCCCACGAACGCAGTTACTGCGCGTGTAATTGTGCACACTGTGTTATTATTATTGCCTGCGGAAGCCTTTTAATCGGCAAAGCAGAGACCCGTCCGTCTCTCGCCTGGAACCCATTCCCTACGGCCTACGCAACTGCAGACGAGAGGACCCGCATCATAAAACAGCCAAACACTATTTTACTCGTCGGCATTTCACGCGATCCTCCCAACGCGTGACGTAATGGGCGATAGACAGACAGACAGACCAACAACAACAGCAGCAAGAAGAAGAAGAAAGAAGAAAACGCGGGGCTTTCGGGGATGGCCGAGGGAAATCGCAAGGAGAAATGATTGGGCAGTTTACCTCTATACTGAAGTAGCCTCGGTCGACGTAATCGCCGAGGAAAAGGTACTTGGTCACCGACGGCGGCCCGCCGACCTCAAACAGCTTCATCAAGTCGTAAAACTGCCCGTGGATGTCCCCGCAGACTGAAAAAAAAAAAAAACAAAACAAAACAAGAAGCGTCAACGACTTTGCAATCCATCATCATCATCATCATCTTCTGCTCTTTCTTCTTCCCCTCCACGCTTCACTTGACCGGTGATGACGGAGAAACGACCCGAAATACCCCAGGTCTTAATCATGACCACACACACGAACCATCATTTCCACTGCCATGTCAAGTATTGTACAGAACAATAGCGTTTATCTTTCTCTTCTCCTCGCACAAACATTTCCCGCGCTCAATCGTCAGCGTCCACAGTACAGTACAGTACAGTACAGGATCCGGTCTTCTCTCCACATCTACTATACCACCATTGATCAGACCTCGCTCAAATGGGAGTTTCCATCAGTGCCACGCTGCTACTAAGAGGATGCAGACAAGTTTTTCCAGTTTGCGTTTCACTGCGGCGTTGTTTATACAAGTAGAATTCCGTTACAACGAATCTCGTTAGAACAAGTTTTTCATTATAACGAATTTTTCCGGTGGTCCTGGCAGTTTCCCATAGGCGTAATGTTATAAAAATTTTGTTTCAACAAAATAATTTCAGGCTGTAATCTCATTATAACGAATTTTTGGGCATGATTGTGTGCATAGCCTATGCAGAAATTACTGAATAAATGGCAGAAAATTTAGAAAAAAGTATAAGATATAGCATTAAAAATTCACAAAAAAAAAGAAATCTTTATGCATAGAAAACTTGGTGTCCAAACAAATGCACTAGTAAGCACTACGGAACATATTTTTGGAAATTCTTTAGCTCATCTATTTTAGCATGTATGCCTTTTTCAAATAAGTAGTACTGTATGTAAGAAGAATGTTCCTCCATGTTTGAAAGAGCTATGGGTTAATAATTTGATTGAGAAGGAAGTGCAGTATTTTTACCATGTGTAACTTTATTTTTGAAGACAAGCAATACTTTATTACAAATGTTAGTTCAATTAAAGGAGAGTTATACTGTACTGCATTTACATCAAAGGATTTCTCTTCATTTCATCAGAAGTACTGTACATGAATTATTTGTTTTAGCAGCATTTTAAGTATGTATTCCCCATTTCCGAAAAAATTTGAGTCTGAAATGTGCTAAAAATGGTCAATCTCAATATAACGAATTTTTCGTTACAACGAATTTTTTCTTGGGTCCCTGGGAGTTTTTTGTAACGAGATTTTACTCATATAATTTTTTTTCTTTCAAGAAAAACACGTGGCTTGGGACCAATGTTCAATCCTTCCTTTTCTCGTTTCTTCTTCTCGGAATATCTTCTCCGATGGAAGCAAGTGAGGAAATTCAAAGTGCTTCTACGCGAGCGATTGATTTTCTGGGGAAAATTCAACCACTCGTTCAGTTCGACTTTCTTTTTCGTTTCTTTTGCCGGTCCCCTCTCAAAAAAAAAGTTGATGGAAAAGTTCCCATTCGAGCAATTAGTCCGTGAGAGATTCGGAAAATGTTCGGGCTGCCGCTTTGATCTCCAAGAATCCACATGGCCGACAGGACACCACCGTCGCGAGGAATGCATACCAACCTAGCCTAACCATCGGGTGTCGTGACTCGTTTTTCTGAGCAAGAGTAGTAGTCAACGTTTTTTCCACCGGTCATTATTTTGTACTGCTCAGTACGTGTCGTGTACTTTTCAGGACGTTTTCCTCCCGATTTCAAGTGCCAAGTACAGAGTACTTCAATAGACGGCACAATGGGATTCCAACTTGGAATATCAACAGGACAAGGGATCTTGCCAAAGGCTTCCAGGGATCCTCAACAAATTTCTCATCATCAGCTTGCTGAAAGCATCTTGATTTTTTTTTCTGGAATCAGAGACTAACGCGTCCGAATCTCACTTTTTCTCTTGGACAAACCACAAAAACATTCCCAAGCACGGCACCTCAAAAGAATGAGGCACGCACACAGACAAGTGTGTCTCACCAAAAGCAACTTAGTTACATCGATTGAAAAAAAAGGGGGGGGGGGGAAGTACACGACCAGACGTTCTTGTTTAAGTAATTGGTTCTTTGTTTGTTTTTCAGAGGGGTTTTCTACACTGTTTGCACTGCTGTGAGCAGTGAATATTGATTTCGGAATTGCGCCCTTCGAAAGGCAGGAATGAAAATTAAAAACAAAATTCCTTACTGCATGTGTAATGCTTTCAAGGGAATGAAGCAATGAATACAGTACACTGAAAGCATGCCCTCAAAAAAATAATAATAACTTGTTGCAATTAATCTCGAAAATGCATTCAACTGTAACAAGATGTTTTCAACATTTATGTCTATGGTGCATAAGCCAGGACCTTTGAAACACCTTCTAGTTGATGAATTCGACGAAATGCATAAGTTTCGCCTCGACTCTTGCTTTTTTTGTTCAAGCACGATGACGCTTTTTCGACTCTTTCTCAAAGTTCAGAACAATTTCAGAATTATCTTTTTCCCTTCCACGACGTTTTTTGAGCGAACGGATGCAATACTGAGTTGCATGTACAGTACAGAAGAGTACTGTCCTCCATTTCCCTTTTAAAATGTCCTTCGTATTTGAGACTTTGGAACGAATCTGATTGCACAGAAAACAAACCCCTCGGGCGATACGGCCCAAGTACTGTACTGTACTGTACTGTAGAACAAATGTACAGTACAGCACGCACTGTACAATATTTATATTTAAATTTAAAAATGCTGTATCAAGTGTCACGTCTCTCGCAGACATCTATTGAGATGAATTGAAAAATCGAGAAATGCAGTCAAGTAAGCTCTCGTCGGTAATACGGGATCAGAGAAACTTGCTCCGTCTTGGTTTTTCCCTGAACCCTTTCATTTTTACACATTCCACCATCACACTGAGAGGATCAGCTAAACTTTAATCAATTAATTCATTTTCTTTCTCTCTCTCTCTATCTATGTCTTTTGTTTGTTGTCTTTCCGTGGCATCACATGTAAATTACAGTACAGTATAGGTAATAACGTACAACTAGGTTTATTCTCTTGTTGTACTGTACTGTACTGTACTGTACTGTACTGTACAGTACTGTACAGTACAGTACAAGAAAGGAGGTGGTAATGTTCCGAGTTTCATATGTACGGGACATGAATGACAACACACTGCAAGACCGCACAGCCGCCTCGTTGCTCAATCGCTCACCTGTGACGGGGGCTTCAATGTCGATCATGGTCCGCTCCTGACGCATGATAGTGGCGCCGTCGTTGATGATCCTTAGGGCCGCCGCCTCCTCGATCCGCCCCTCCAGCACAAAGTGTTGCTTGAGCACGTCCGGCTTCGGCTTCCCCGTCTTGGCGTCGAACACCTCCGCTGCGGTCAGCCGACGGCTCGGCGGAAAAGGGACGCCTAAAACAGTGCGTGGACAAGATGGTGTGGCCGGCGACGAAACCCCGAGGGGTGGAAGGAGAAGAAAAAAAAAAAGAAAAAGCACACCAAAGTCAGCTTCTCGTCTTGGCACATTTCACCCAATGCCCCTCGAGCACTGTATAAACTGCACAGTAGTACAGTGCAAATAAATAAAAAACACATGGTAGGTTCACTTTAAATAAATAAATAAATAAATAATAATAATAATAATAACAGGCATCACACACACCCAACGGTGTTGCCTATGCCTATACAGTACTGTACAGTATAGTGAAACTGCGGAGAAATACGCTCAAAACCGGGAAGGCCTTCTTCGTTCCAGCCCAAGGAAACGCGGTTGGAACTATCAGTGAGCTTCTTCACAGTCGTCAGGAGAAGCCGCGATGAATCATCAGCAACATCACTCTGCACATTTTTCGACAATGCTGTACAGGACAATATTGTACTGTACTGTACTGTAGAATAGTGTTCTTGCAGTCGACTTTCGTCCACGGATCCCCGGATCCAGGAAACTCGACAGACGCGGGAAATGCCCGCACGGAACAATGAAAAGCAGCCATTTAACGGCGATTTCCCTCTCCTTTTCCTTCAATTTCGTTGCATTTTTTTTAATGTTTTTCTTGTTGTTGTTGTTTGTTTTCCTTTAGTAAAATACACGCGAGAAAGGGAACGGGGAAAATGAAGGAAGCATTTCAAATTTGAAGATTTAGGGTTGAATTCAAGCGCAGTTCTTCCAAGTATAGTGTATGGGCCACGGGGTTCTACTGTACTGTACTGCACAGTACAAGAGCAGAAGAGGCTGCGCTGGGTCAAGTTGTGCAGTAAATACAACGGTGGTACTGTACGTCACGTCTACGTCGAAACCGGCCCGAATGTCGAAAAGGGTCCAAGACTTGGTGCCGGGGTGAAGGAAACGAGAGTTCCTCCCTTTGGCGAATAACGACTCATTTCCCAAATGTGGTAAAATTATGAATGAATGAATGAATGAATGAATGCATCCGGCATCATGGTCCATGAACGCTGTCTGATGGGACTTTCCAAGAGAACCCCACTCGACGGACCGCGTTCAATTGCCTCCTACAGTGCGACACGACACGACACGGCAGTGTAGTAGTGCAAGTACAGTACCTGACTAGAAAAGGATACTGTATCTATCTGTTTGCATGCATGCATGCATGCATGCATACGTGCATTGGCATCAATCCGTCTGGCCGGGCAAGAGAACAAGAAGGAAACAAACGGCGTCGACGAGGAGAATCAATCAAGCAACGGAGGAATCGAATCATTCCGCGACAGATACTGCGTGTACTCGTATACAGTACTGTACTGCGGAAAAGGGAGGAACCTTTATTATTTCTCTCCAATGATTCCAATGAAGGGAAGGAAGGAGGGAAGGAAGGAAGGAAGGAAGGAAGGAAGGAAGGAGGGAAAGGAGGAAGGGAGGACGGACGGGTGGACGACGACCCGGGGCGAGGATACGTCCGAAAGCCAAGACGTCACGGCGAGACGCTCGTTCGCTCGCTCGCTGGCTGACTGACTGACTGACTTCTCTCGATGGCATATATACAGTACAGTAGTAATGCATCCCTCCAGACATACACACTGTACAACCGAGTGAACCAACCTGTCTGATTGCATGGAGTCGAGAGAAAAACAGGACGAGGCCGGAAACAACGAGCGCGTGCCTCATTGCACGCTAGCTACACTCGTCTCCAACAACAGTGTGCAAGGCGAACTGTGTACCTCTTCTACTACCGCTACCCGTACACCGCAGTAGAGGCAAGTCAAGATCAAGACCATGACCAAGACCAAGACCTAAAACGTTGGTATTCTAGCTCCGACCGAACAAGGAGGAAGTAGACATAATGCTGTACGGTACAAGCACGTGAACCCGCAACGTTCTCCGCGCCCTCCAGCGGCGGCAGGCGAAACAACGACCGACTTCCTTCGCCGATGCTGAGCCGCAATGATCCCCCCGCTGTTCGCACGGCCTCGCCAACTCGCTTCTTTTCAACGTATTGTACATGGATACACGTGCTGGCGACAATGGAAAGCATGACGACAGGCGTTCGCAGTCCCGGCACTTGGCCACGGACAAAGGAACTCGGAAAGCGAGGCAAACGGACTAACGCACACCAGTACTGTACTGTGCTACTTGACGACGACGACAATGATGATGATGATGATGATGATGATAGAAACACGGATGCCAGTCGATTTCTGTTGCCGATTTTGTAGTAGCATTAGCAATAGTAGTAGTACTGTAGTAGTAGTAGTCGCCGTCGTTGTTGTTGCTGCTGCTGCAGTCCACGCGGAGTGGGTGTCATTTAAAACGCACGCGCCGCCCGTCCATCGCCTTTGCATCCAAGGACAAAGCACATGCCGAGACCCTGCACCATTTCGCCGTGTTGCACGTTCGATACGACGAGCCCATTATTCGAGCCGCGTAATCGTCGGACATGAAAGCCTTGCAGGCAAGCAGGCAAGCAGGCAGGCAGACAGGTCAGGTCAGGTCGGGTCGGGTCAGGTCGCGTTACTCTCGTCCTCCCGATTCCGCAAACGACGCAAGCCTGCACGCATATCCCAAATCCCAGCTCGCTTCACTCGGTGGCGGCAGTGCAGTAGTTGAGAAATAAGGAACACCATAAAGTTGGCTGCCCGGGTTTTCGGCCAGCGTGCACGGGTATCGTCCTAGTCTGGTCTGGTCTGGAGGGATCGTGCCCGTGATCGGGGGTCGGCCAAGTTCACCAGCCATGCAGCCATTGCGGGGGGAGAAGACGAAGACTACGACGACGACGACGACACGTACGCCGCGTTCCGGAAAAAGGCCGGTAAAACGGCAAGAAGGTCTGGTTCCTTCAGTCTAGCAACCAGCAAAACGAGTAGTCGCCGCGTTTTGCGCGACACGTGTCCGTGACACGAGCTAAATGACGAACATCTATCTGGCGGGGTCGCTAATGCACATTCAAAAGAGAGCGAGAAATCCGCTTTGTGCAAAAAGTAACGCGGCACTCAAGTCTGCTGGTCGCATGCAATCCGAAGGACAGACATGAGATTCATCTCGTGTGGTGAGCAAGCAAGCGTGTCGAGAGTTCCTACACCAAAAAAAGAAAAAAAAAGACGACGTCATCCGTCCATTGTGTCGAGATCTATCCTCGACTGTACACGAGTACTGTTGAGCATACAGTATTGTACTGTGCGACACTTTGTGCACATGCACAGTACCTGTACACTGAAATCGCTTCCCGTTGCCTCGTCGTCGTCGTCGTCGTCGTCGGCAGCAAGAATGCGTTTAATCACAACCAAGTCGAGTGAATAAAATAGAAGAATGAAGCACATCCCCTGCGCCTGCATCCATCTCTTTCTCCTTCTTCCGGCCAGGCGAGAGAGAGAGAGAAAAAGCTCGTTTCTACAAAAAAAAAAAAAAAGCATGCAGTAATAATACCGCGGAGAAGAAGCTGGTCGCGGCTTCATCTCGGACGCCGTCGGCAGGCAATCCCCTTTGTGTCGCCGGTGTCACCGCCTCACAGCACCGGGCTCATGCAAAGCCGCACAAAAGACGACCCGCCCGAGGCAGGCAGGGATACTCTGCTCCACGCCTGATTACATCCCGTGTCGCAACTCGCTAAGCCAACCCCCGAAACAACCAGCCCTATTCTACGAGGCAAGAGACAGGCAGAGTACAGTACAGTAGAGTAGAGTACAATACGTTGACTGCACGTCCGTGGGCCAACCAGAAAAGGAGGGATCCATCCCAGCAGCAAGAGGATCATCAAAAGCCCCTCACTCATGGAGGAGTATATCTTCATCCAACTACAATATCCATTATGTACAGTCTCAGCCTCTCTCCCTCTCTCTCTCTCTCTCTCTCTCTCTACTCCTTCCACTTTATTCTGTACATCCATGCAGTTCACTGCATCAGGTTTACCGATTAAATTTGTTACAAATTTATGATTTCGAAATTTATTCACTGCAAAAATGACTTCAAATTAAAACCTTCATTTGTATATATTACTGTATGTATACGTAAATATATATATATATTATACAGTATACTGAATATACAGTATTCATGTGCTGTACATTCTTCAGGATGTCCAACAACAAGCGGTTAATCAAATTAAACTGCAGAAAAGGCATTGCCATGAACAATCCACACTAAATTACGGTGTGCTGCATTTTTATACTGTACAGTATTCTAAATTCTTGAACGGTTTTCCTCATTCTTTTCTTAGTTGGATCGGGGAATAATAAATGAGGTGATACTCTGGTCGTACAAACAGTACATACAACAACAACAACGAGCAATACTGTACTGTGTGACGCACAAGTGCATCACGCAACACAAAACCCCGTGTCGTCGTCGCAAAGCCCTTCCCCGCAAGTTGAGGGGTGTACTGCACTGTACCGTGCATTCTCGTTCGAGCATTGCATCGGGCATAGCAAGCAGACAGACCGTCGAAACGAAGGACGAGTAAAGGTCCTCTTGATTGCCCCGATGTCCGACGATGCAAGTAATGTACAGTAACAGTAAACTATACATGGTGCAACAAAGGGAAGCAGCGGCTTGAACCGTCCGCCACGTGCTGAGCACGCAAAAAAAAAAAAAGCGGTGCGTCCAAAACAAGGAAGGGACAAGACAATCGAGTACCGTACATCATTGTACTGTACTGTCCTGTCCAAGCAACCGACTGGGGTTCTTGAGAGACGGCACCGGTATCTGCCGCCCCAACAAACACCGTGTCACGAGCACTTCGTACAACGACAGGTGGCCCAACAGCGACAGGCCCCGTCATCGTCGGAGGAGGAGGAAGAGGAACAACAACAACAACAAGGATGAGGAAGGATGATTCGCCCTCTGGACGTGAGGAAAGGAGCGGACGGGAAGTGAAAAGCCAGCCGTTGGTTGGTTGGTTGGTTGGTTGGCTCCAAGTTCGGTCCCCGATCCGTCGAACGACGACGACGAAGACGACGACAATGAGACCAGAATCACGCATGACGATGAGTGTCCGGCAGACTGACATTGACTCTGACGCCGTTCATCGCGAGCGTCCATCATCCTTCAAGCCCCTCACACATTCTCCTCACACTCGAACGTACGTCATCCACCTCATCATCACCAAATCGTCATTTGCTACAACTACTACTACTTCTTCTTCTTCTTCTTCCACGATCACCTCCTCCTCGTCGTGATCGTGGTCATGGTTGCTGTTCTTGCATCACCGACCAACCTCATTCCGACTCTCCGAGAGTCGTCATCACGTCCTCGAACCATATTGGTGGGTGGACAGAGACCAACGAGATGCCGGTCCTTCAACAATGACCAGAAATCCAATCATCCGCCAAGTCTCGAGGCAATAGACCGAAACAAGAGAACGTGTCATAGTTCAGTTCAGTTCAGTTCAATACTGCTGGTAGAGTAATACGAAGTACAGTACACAAAGACGCGGTGAAATGAAGACAGGCAAATGGAGAATCGGGGCCTGAAGCAGGCGGACGATGACACAGTTGCAGTCAGTCACTTGACTCGTCACGCACAACGCTAGTTGGCCAGATACGG